AAAGTTAAAATAGGATAACTTTGGACACTTAATTTATTAACATTAAAACTTAAGTTGATATCTTTTTAATTATTTTCCTTTCTTTCTTTGTGAAGTAGAGTCGAAGTCTTTTTTTTTTATATATATTTTCTAGAACTAAATTGATTTTTCACATGCTCACCACGTACAGAAGTCGCTGATGAATTTTTTTCCGACGTTTTCTCATCCATTTATTCTACTAAATCGTCTTCCTCTTTCTCACACTCATACTCCATTAATGGAAAACCTTCTCCCCACCAGAAAAAGTGGAATCCTTCTTATCACATTTAAGGGTGTGTTTATTAGAGTTTAAAATAGTTCAGGGTGGTAAAATAGTATATGGTGGTAATAGGTTAAAGATAAAGTTTCAGGTTTAATATTTTTAAATCAAAATAACAGAGGCTAAGAATTTATTTTATTTTTTAATAGTTCCAAAAGATTTGTGATTTCCAGGATTTATATCTTGAAAATTTGTTTGCTTGTCTTCCCTCAAAAGTTCAACTTCAGACACCTAGTTGTATCTTGTTTCAAACCACAACCCCCCCCCCCCCTTTAATTTTAAGAAGATCTGTTCCAAAAACTCTCTCATCCACATAAGCTGTAACTTGCTCCATTCCTCATAGGCTTTAATGGCTGCACCCCATTTGCATTGTTATCTGCTGCAGCGTTTAGTTTGTTAATGCATTGATCCGAATCTATGCTTGTCATTTAAATGCAGGGGAAGCAAAGATGGTGATGTCTGTGTTATTGATGTGACAAAGATGGAGATCTCCTCTTTGCACAAGAGGTTGCACTTGGGTACTAATATTACTTCTTTGGAGTTTTGTCCCAGTGAAAGGTATGTGCAATTTTAGCTATAATTTTCTATGAAGTATTGACTCTCTGTCATTCGTCTTCTGTTCTGAAGCTTATGCCTTCTCTTTTAGAAGCCATGTTTTTCATGGAATTCTAAACAGTGTTAGGATGTCTTGTTTCTCCACAAGATATGTATGGAGAGAAATAAGAGGAAATTGTAGTAGATATAACTCGTGACTGAAGAGTGTAAAGGGAAGCTTTTTTGTGACGGTCTTGTACGTAGTCCATACGACTTTAGTGATGCCAAGAACCTTTCATGAATATCTTTAGTTTATGAGCTACTTTTGCATGCAACAGTCACAACAACTAATTATTGAAGAAGACAAAAAATTAAACTTTAACTAAAGACTAACTTGGCAGCGTGATCTTTAGCTGCAAAATATACACCATGAATGAGTGTATACTAAATCAGCTATGTGGTTAATTATGTCGTTGCTAAGGCATATATATATGATTTATCAAATAGTTCCAGATGTCCTTTTGCCTGTCCTGTGCTAGTTGAATTTTGTTTTACTTTCCCTTTTTTGGTAGGATTGTGTGCTTTTCATTTTTTATATGTGAAGAACATAGACTTAGGTCGAGCGTTGTTGGAGCTTCATGGTTTCTATAAAGCTTCAAGCTCGGGAAAAATGAATATCAATTCATATGGTTGGATGTTGGACGGTTTTGGAAGAACTGAATATTCGGCATAGGTTTTATGTCATGTTTTCATCATATGTGGTTTATTTGGTTCTTTTGATGCTTTCCTTAATATGCTTTCTTGTTTCTGAACAAAGGTTCAGATATGTCTGCATCTGCACTGTAAGCCATTTGCGGAAACTCTGTTTAATCCTATAATTCTGGAGAACTGTTATAATGATCAACATCATTTCATTATGAACTAGATATGTTTGACGTACTAATTTGATCTCCAAGTTCTCATCTTGTGTATTGGGTCCAATATAACATCAACGTGAGTACACAAGATGAGGACTTTGAGATCAAATTAGCTGTTTGAACATGATCTAGCTCAAACATGAAATGTCGCTGATCATTGTAATAGTTATCCTGAATTATAGGCATAAACAGAGTTACTGCCAATCGGGTTTGCATTGCAGAAGTAGACATTTCTGAACCTTCATTCATAAACAAGAAAGCATAAAAAGTAAAACATCAATAGAACCACATAGAAGAAAACATGATATAAAATCTGTGCAGGATATTCAGTTCTTCCAAAACCTCCTAACGTCCAACCATATGGGTTGACATTCATTTTCCCCTAGCTTGCAGATTCATAGATTCCATGAAGCTCACAATTGCACTAGTTGAACAAAAACAATGGTAGACCAGGTTCTATATTCTTCACATATGAGAAATGAGGAGCAGGCAACCTACGCAAAAAAAGAGAAGTAAAACATATTTTGCTAAAGGACATCTAAAACTATTTAGTAAACCACACATATATATATTTGCCTTAGCAACGAAATAACTAACCAAATAGCTGATTTAGTAGACTCACTCATGGTGAATAATTTGCAACCAAAGATTATGCCACCAAGTTGTTATTGTTCTGAGTCTTAGGTGCTAGGTCTCGGTGATACCTGTTGACATGATTTCCTAATGATAATTTCTCTTCACTAGTTGTTGCCTATATTTGTGCTCTTCAAAGTTGAAACCTCGTGTCTACTAATGTCATTGTAATCTTTCTCATCAACTATTCTTTAAGAATCAAAGCCCCTATTCTGTCTGCTTACTAAGGCACATTTTGGCAGGGTGGCTCTTACCACTTCCTCTCAATGGGGAGTAATGGTGACCAAGCTAAATGTCCCAACCGATTGGAAAGGTCCATCTCTTTTTCTTTCTGTGTGTAGGGACAATCGCGTGCATTTGACTCCAAGATTGACTTTTTTTCTCCCCTATTTCTTCAATTGCAGAGTGGCAGATTTATCTATTACTCTTGGGATTGTTTTTGGCATCAGCTGTTCTATTTTACGTGTTCTTCGAGAATTCTGATTCTTTCTGGAACTTCCCTGATCCATCTACAAGACCAAAGATTGAGACTCTCCATGTTGATGCAACATCTGAAGAACAATGGAGTAGCTTTGGACCTTTAGATTTGTAAGCTGCTCTTGTAGCGTTTTCGTCGGATTTCAAGATGGCAGACCTAAGAAAGATTATGAAATAAGTCTTAGCTTTTTGGAGGCATTTTAACTAGCTTGTTTACTTTCTAACTGATGAATGTTAAAAATATGAGAGACTAATATTTGCCTTTTTTTGGATGTTTATTTGATGCAGCATACTGTAGGTTGTTTTAGTGTGGCAAGTTTCTTGTAATGTTTAATCTTTAGTTGTGCTATGAACATGTCTCCTTGAGTTGAGGGTCGGGTTTCTCAGAAACAACTTCTCTATTCTACTAGGTAGGAGGTAACGTCTACGTATATTTTACCGTCCTAGACACCATTTGTGAGATCACGTTGGGTATGAGGCATGCCTTTTTTCTTCTCATTTTTTTGTGTATTAATGGTTAATAAGACTTTATCTTGGAAATAAGTTATTAGCTGTATTTATTTCAAAACAAAAAAATTAAAGTTTTGTGCACTCCTGCAAGGGAATTATGCTAGGTTGATTAAATACTTCATTTCATATTAGTAGTATCACATTTTCTTGACCTCAACACTGTTTAATGTCTCCAATATTGTTTATTTTAAAAAATAATTAATATTAAGAGGAAAAATTGAAAAAGTGCTAGAGTAATTAATTATATCTTAATTTCATAAATTAACCAATAATTTGAAACGAATACCTATAATAATGTTGACCAATTATTATAGAACATGTATAGGTGTACCAATTGTAATGGACATTTGATTTTCTCGTACTTTTTCCGTTTCATATTAGTTGTTAAGCTTACCAACAATGTTCGTCTAAAAATACAGTCAATTTACAAAATTAAGGTAGAATTAATTTTTTTATTTATTTTATCCTTAAAAATAAATAATCTTGAAATAAGATTAACTAGTCTTGTTTTTAAATAGCGGAAATGACTTGATCAGAGACTTTTGTATTTGATTCAGATTGTAAATTAAACTCTTCTAATTACGATTTAATCAACTGAACACTTAAACTCAATAAAATTCAACCATTCAAACCTTAAACAAAAAATGAATAAATACGAGAATCTCTCAAATCATCGTAACAAAGAAAATATAACAACTGATACAAAAATAGCTCTAAGTATTCTACCAAATGAATTAATTATTATACCTTTATCTTGGCACGATAAAAATGGCTTAAGCATTAATAATGATATATGTATATAAAACAAATACTCTCTTTATAAAATAAGAAATTTGGTTTTAAAAAAATTGATCTACCAACCAATTCTTTTATATATATAAAAATAAAATAAGGATACCATTTATTAACACAATATGGAAGTCCCAAGAATTGGTAGTGGTCTACATGTTCAAAGGTTCATGAGATTTTTTTGTTGAAAATAATATATATATATAT